GACGTGGACTGGGAAATCTGATGGTTACACTTTGTCTAGAATACAGAAAAGCTTTTGTGATGTTGATGTCATCCACTGCAGACCTTCTACCTCTTTCTAAGTAGTCTCTACTCTATTAGTAGTAGAAAAATTTACCAAATCAATGCTTCTGGATATATGGGGGTGATTATATACTGAGGATAACTGTGCTGAACTAATGTTCAGGTTTCTGCACTGAAAACAGTCAGCAAGATATTACTGCTAGAAAATACTGAGAATTTTTATCAGACTTCTTCCATAATAACCCAAAACAAGAGAGAATTTTTGAATATCAAAATAGTATAAATTAGTATAAAATAGTATAAATTAAAAATTCATTGTTGAATTACTCCAAACCCCTAAGAACCCAGACATATCTCAGCAGCTCTCCCAGCTGACCTGGTTACCTTGACACAAAGCCTGTGTCTTTAATGACCAATATGAAGAGAAAGTTCAATTTTGCAGAACTGTAGAACTGGGCAAGGTCATCAAAATCTGCAGTGTGCAAAGCATTGATGAGTCTGGAAACTGAAAAGGAAACAGATCTCCCACAACCCCTTTCTATCAATTTTATCTTCTATCGACTACATAGTCCCATCTGAGTCAAAGAACCAAATAATGAATCATAAAACATGACCATCGGAATATGGCCTGGTCATAACAAGCGCTATTAATTGCTTAATGACAGACAGATCATATAGATATAAAAGACTGTTATCTGCAAGAGAGGCCCCTGGACATAGACACTACCAGTTCAGTGTTCATGGTTCATAGTTAAATGCTCGTGCTTGAGCACTATTGCTCAGCCAAGCATAGTGCTGAGCAGTGGGGTACAAAGAAATAAATGGAACTTGGTTTCTGCCCTCAGAGGCCTTACAGTGCAGATTCTTTTTACATTCCTAGTGACTCGACAAGAATTCACATGAATAAGTGAATAATTGTGACACTGATCCTTGAATGTGGTATTGAGATGTGATGCACACTTGATACATACATGTCTTCTTTCTTTGGTTGCTTTTGAGATTTTCTCTTTACTACTGATGTTGAGGGATTTGATTATAATGTACCTTGGTATAATTTTTTTCATGTTTCTGGTAGAGTTTCTTGAGTTGCTTAGATGTGTGAGTTTGTGGTTTTCATCACATTTGGAAAGTTTTCAACCATTACTTCTTGAAATAGGTTTTCTCATCTCTTCCCCCTTTTTCTCTCATCTTGTTTGGGGACTCCATTTACACACACATCAGGCCACTTGAAGCTCAATGATGCACTGTTACTTTTTTTTTTCTTTTTTTCTCTGTGTTTCATTTTGTATAGTTTTCAGCTGCTGTCTTTCAGTTCACTAATCTTTTCTTTTGTGATGTCTAATCTGTTAATCCCATTCCTTGGGGCATTTTTCATTTAGACATTGTATTTTAAACTCTAGAAGTTCTATTTGTGTCTTTATAAATTTTCCATGTTTCTAATTATCTTTTTGAACATATAGAATATAGATTTTAACTTTTAAAGCAAAAGTTGAAGACTTACATTCAAAATCTTCTATAGCTCAAAGACATTTTTCCATTTTTAAATTGTTCTAATAGGAATTTAAGTATTTCTCATGGAAAATAATAATTTGTTAAAAACAATAAAAAGATGGCAAACTTGTTTTGCCACCGTCTAGATGGCTTTGCACCTCAAGTCAGACTCAGGACTGAAACCCCGAGCCTACCTTCCCACCCCCTTCTACTTGGTCCTCCAAGGCCAGGGAGCTGGGTGGGGACGTGCAGCATCTTCGTACTGTTGGGTATATACCGTGACAACCCCTTGGCCCATGACATCCTGCTCCCATCTTTGCATCCAGTGTTGTCTCTGATCTGTATGATGTGGGGTGAAGCAGTCATGATCTTCTCTGTTTAAAGATGACACATCTGAGACACACTGAAGGGCTATCATTTTCCCACAAAGCTTAGAAAAGTTAGAGTCAAGGTTTGAATTATGATCAGAGTCAAAGCCTCCTAACTTTCGAGGGAGGTTAATTCTAAGGGCTAGTTCAAGAAAGTGATTTCCGTTACTATCTCTTTCCTAGTTCTGTCAGGCTATAATCTAGGATTCTGCCTGGG